AGTAGTTTAATAAAATTTAGAATGTAAGATACTAAAACCTTGTGTCATGCACAGTAAAGGATACCCATGACAATAGGGTTAAAATATTAAAACACCATTGTGGTGTAAAAATTTCATAGGTTAAACATCTGTATGTTTATTTTTACAACTGTTTTTATTAAAGCACATACACAGTTATCATTATAAGAAATTCACAGTATTTTCTCACTGGTTGTAGTTATATGTATATATATAAATTAATTCACCTTCAGTTGAAAATCCATGGAGAATCTCATGAACCAGATTTCACATTCCTTGTACTCAAAGCGATGGAGAATGGTTACATTAGTATCTGTGTTTTTCACTTCTCGCTGTTCTAAAAGTCCTGGCTTCCAACAGACAATGCAGTTCTCACAAGACTAAAGAAAAACAGGAGGCAAAATAAATAATAATTCAAATTACAATAATGGAAAAATGCCATATAATGTGTGAGAAAACCCATGTTTGGTTAAAAAGTTACACTCAAAGAAAAATGTCATTTTGCATTTGCTTTCAACAATCTCATTATGCAATGATATATGAAGTAAAACTTAGTTCAGTTAAAACTTTATGACAACGTTAAAGTATAGTGTTGTTTTGTACTATATATCTGTGCATAATTGAACATATTCTTTAATTATGTGTGTTTTAAATATGCTTATAAGGTTTTTAGTTATAAGTGGGTATACATTGTTTGAGAAAGCTTTATTCCTGTAAAATAACTCATAAGTTGTATTATTTGAAAAGCCAGAAACAATATGGTCATTTCTTTTTGTAAAAGTATCAATATTTAACACTAACTAGGGCAGCACCTTGTGGGAGACAAAAGATAGATCTGAAATGCTATTTTTACACACCTCTGATTATGAATCCAAAATGTACAACATAAGAGGCCTATTGGTTTCCAATGCTTGTCAGCTTTTAAAGTTTAAACCTTACTTTATAATAATAATATAAAAACTAAAAACTCGTGACATAGGCCTTGTAAATATTACTAGCAAAGAATAAAGAATGAAAACATTCCAAACTATAAATAATACAAAACTTGGTATTTTTGAAAAAGTTCCACCTGATGTAACCAAGGGCTAACTGAGGAAAACTACTGAATAAGAGGTGAATTGAAGCTACATGCATTTCCAACCAAATTACCAATTTCTTAATATAACAAAAAGGATATCACAGGCTTGATCAAAATGATTAATGGGTAATTTAATCTGGTCTTCTGAATAACCCTTTATGACAGCTTGTAATGCTATTTATATTGTAGAGTAAGTTGTATTTTTTCATGCATTTGATACATACACTTGAACAACAACAACAACAAAACTAGTGATTACAGTACATGAACAAGACCTAAGAAAGGTTGAGTATAATGCAACAGTATTAACAAAATTGTAAAATATTTCAGAGAATAAAATTTTACCTTTGAAAGGACAAAATTTCCAAGCCATCTGACACAATCTACATAGTTTCTATGGATGTCCCTTGTTGTAAAATTTGGGAAATGCTGTTTAACTGTTTCAAAAGGCCTAAAAATGATGTGAAAATAAATAGTGGAAAATCTTGCAAACTTTTTTCCTTACATTATATAAATATGAAATTCCTTAATATGCTTTTATCATGTATAGATATGACCACACAAAAGTGCAATATATATAATTACAACAAAGTCACTGACTTGAAAGTTTTTCTTCAGAACATAAGAAAACCCTTTTATTTATTTTTTGCAATTTGAATAAACAAAATAATCTGTCTTTATTCAAAATAATATAAAATAATTTTCCAAATACACTGCATTTTTTTTTTTATTTGTTTAACTTACATTTTGAATATTGGTCATGATTTGTAGTCTAAGCAAAATTTTTGTGCACACTTTCATATGCATTGCTTTTTTCATAGGTCCTTACAATATAAGCAGTGGCAAAATCTCTCAGTATCTTGTACATACCAACTGAACTCATTCTGACTCAAAACTTTTTTGGCTTTTTGCTCACTAGTTTTTCATTGACCTTTCATTTCTGGCCAGAATTTGACTTTTTATGTCTAAACTACCTTGTTAGGAACATTCTGAGCAAATGAAGAATACCATTACACAAAGCAATATACAAGTTTTAATTGACTGCATTCTTTAAATTAAATTATATCTGTAAATTAATGAGGAAAGGCAGTTTAAAAATAATACTGCTTTATGATCATACCTTGTATAACTAACAGTTACCTCCCTTGACAAACAATCAAATCAAAAATACAGAAATCCATATGGCAAAAAGATATACCTTTCCAAGTCAGCATTAACACCCTTCCATAATTCACTGATAATAATTAATCCAATATTATGTTAACTTTTTCTTTCTTTTTTTTGATAGAAACTTTCAATAACAACCAAGTAACATAACTGGTATCGACATATTCTCGGTGGGGATATCATATTCAGTGTACCGATTGGTTTATGCCTATATTTACATGCCAAGTTGTAAAAAAATGGCCAAGCATGTAGCATCTCAGCAATTTGATTGGCTTATGTTAAGATTTTGGACACCAAGCGATAAAACGTTTGCCATCCTCAACATGGCAAGTGAACAACTGAGTTGAAAATAAAGGTGAATAAAAAAAAAAACTGAAACTGGAACTTTGAACTGTTTGTCTTACTTGGATTACACTAGTAAGTGTAACTAATCTACAGGATTTGCCTAGATAATAACAGTATTAAAGTATTACCAACCTACAGGCTTTTTTTACCCGAATTAATGCAGTAAATTCTACCAACTTATTACTAAAAGTAAGGAAGAATATTCAACAATATGTCAAACACACTATACCTACTATATCCAATGCCGATAGTCTTTTGCCCAATACCAGGGCTCATCAGGCTAGCTGAGATACAAGAAACACAGTAGCAGTTAAAAAGCTCTTTATAATATCAAATTGTATGAACAACTGATATTTTATAAAACAGATGAGAAATTTCTATCAATTTTTATACGAGTCACAATAATTAAGGTAAGGATTAATAACACAATATCTATGTTACAGACCTGCAGTTTTTGCATAGATTATAATAGCAAATGTCACTAACATATAAGCCTTATCTAGATTACAGCAGTAACTATCACTGACCTATAAGTTCTGCCTGTATTATTGCACTAAGTGTCACTGAACTGTAGTTCCTACTTCTATTACAGCAGTAACTATCACTGACCTATAAGTTCTGCCTGTATTATTGCACTACTTCTATTACAGTAGTAAGTCATTGAGCTGTAGGTTCTACCTGGATTATAGCAATAAGTCACTGACCTTTACGTATAACCTGAATTATAGCAGTAAGAGTCAATATCCTGTAGGTCCCTGTCTGAATTATAGCAAAAAAAGAAACTGACCAGTTGGTCCTGCCTGGAATATAACAGTAAGTGTTACTGACCTGTAGGTCTTGCCTGGATTATAACAGTAAGAGTCACTAACAGCTTTCTGAAGTATTTCGGTATCCAGCCTCCACAATTTTAGAGAGTGATCCATCCCACAGGACAATATCTTCTGTCCAAGAAGATCAAAATCCTGTAGTAAAAACAATCATACAAGTTAGATGATTTTGAAATGAATATTAACTTAGATATAAAAATATTATATTAAAAAAGATGGAGAACATTAATCAGCCTTTCTAATGACATAAATAAAACCTATGTAAATATATAATCACATCTTTACTGCCAGCAGCTCACTAAAACTAACTGCCCATTTCTAAATCCAGCAACTAGCTTGAAAAACATGCTGTTACCTAGTAATTTCCAGCCACTTTATATCATGTTTATAAGTCTATAATTAGAAATTATATATATAGAAATTATCTTGAATTTAGATTTGCTTAATCTTATTTGTCTAAAACAAAAAGAAAAATAAGACAATACAACTATGATATTAATTTTAACAGTTGTTTTCCAATAAATGTATTACTGGCTCTCAGTCTCTTCATTGGTAAATATTTAAGTAGTTCATGTCAATACAAATCTAAACAGTTTATGTAGTTCATGTCAATATGAATCTAAACAGTTTAATGTGGTTCATGTCAATATGAATCTAAACAGTTTAATGTGGTTCATGTCAATATGAATCTAAACAGTTTATGTGGTTCATGTCAATATGAATCTA